AAGGAACGTGAACTACTTCTTGATTTAAAGACATTTTCTCAAGTGGCCCAGAGGGCAGAAATCACCAAGGAATCATTTTTCAGAGCACAGAAAATACAAGGTAGCAAATTAGTCTTTCCCAGTAGCCAGGGCATACTCATGGCTATCAGCAAAGACAGCTCAGCCACTTAGTTTTCCTAGAAAATACTGCTCCCACATCTTCAGATTTAACCCCTTTGTGAATCCCACACATGAAAACTGTATCACCATTCAGCCATATTCTAAATTTCCCAGTTAATTCTATAATACCATAGTCTGGCATAAATAGGATATGTAAAATTACCTGCATTGCAGCATTACTGGTTTGGTTATAATTATATTAAAAAAAGGCTTCTTTAGTATTGAGCATTTATTTTTGGGCATCAAAATACCCTACTCAGGAAAGAAAAAGGAAGAAATAAGTTCTGAGGTGGCTTCCTTTAGAGGTTTTCTTCCCCCAGAATTTAGGATCTTGCTAATAAACTTCCCTGAAGACACAGGAGGCTGTGGGGATGATTCACTGCTGACCTGGGACACCAAACAGAATTAGAGGTGAAAATGAAAGGAGCCACCGACCTTCCTTTGATGTCCTCCCTTCCTAGAAGTGTTTACAAACACACCTGAAGTAAGGGAGCGCTCCTGAAAAGGTATTTTATTGACACTGCTGGTTTGACCCACATCCCATGACTCACCCCACAGAGGAGGGGGGAACACGGGGGGAGTTTCCCAAAGAACAGCATTTGCAGTGTGTCTGTACTGACAGGATTCATCAGGGGATCCACAGATTCTGGTAAATCGAATGAAATAATGTCCTTTGAACACTCCATCACCACCCTTTCCATGAGCACTGACTCTCAATTTATTTACTTTCTCCCAAATATTTAAAGCCTCAGTATGAAAATAAACCACTATGAATCCAACTTGTATTTTTTCCCCTCTCTGTCCCCTTATTCCTGGACTGTGAAAACACCTAAACCTGAGAACCCAGACAGGTTCTACCTCGTGTCCAGGAGCATCTGCACTTCAGGATAAATGCTCAAATTTCATTACTCACCCTAAAATGATTACGTCATCTTAAAAAATTGCCTCTAAGCACACTATTTATACTCCTTCTTATTCTATATATTGCTGGTTCGCAGTGTACAACAACATAAATCCCAAACAGAAAGGGGATCTCCTAAAGGGAATTGCTGCAGAGGGATTTATGACAGCGCAACTTAATCAGATTTGCAGAACTGCTCTTGCAAATCTGACTTCAGATTAAATCAGCATTCATTTCAGAAGCCATTCTGTCTATGGTACGAGTTCACAACTGAAAACATTTTGCTTTCTTTTAGCTCACTATATAAAAGCTCTTGCACAGTAGCGCTGTTTAAGCTGTCCAGACCATCTTGGGAACATTTAACTACATGATTTTCAACAAAAACTATCATCTTACAGACCATCCCCAAGCACTGGTCTCCGGTTTCAGCTTCTCAAATCCAACACCACCTGCTGACGAAATGCACTCTGTCAATGCACAACAACTGCACATATTTCTCTCTCTGTGCATCTACGTTTAGTCCAGAAATAACCAAACCAAAAAAAAAAAAAAAGGCGCTTTTTTGAAACGTTTTTGGAAACAAAAAACCGTGTCTTTACCTAACATTTAAATTTTTTTTTTGGTGCCGTTTAAAATTTTTATGGACACCCAGAAACATCCTTCTTGAGACAGAATATTAACACATTTTGGACCATTAAGAGCCACTGCAGGTCATACCCATGCCCAGGGTACTGTCAAATATCCCATCTCTGACGACCATGAGCAGAAAACAATCAGTGAAGATTAAAATGTGAGGATGAGCACACGGTGTTACTCTGCCAATCCACTCCTGACTTCCAGCTGTTTGCAGTCCAGGTCCTTCTAGAACCAGGTAATTTCAGTAATAATGGATTTTGCCACTGCATAATCCTGAACAATTGCTTTGATTTACCTCCATCTGCAAACTACAGCTGAGACAGAAATGCAGGAACAGTTGTTGCCTTATCCCCCGTCACTCATGATTTTAGAGACAAATATGGTACCAGGTAAACTGAAAGAGAGTTTGGACTGGATATTGGGGAAAAATTCTCCCCTGTGAGGGTCGGGAGGCCCTGGCACAGGTTGCCCAGAGAAGCTGTGGCTGCCCCTGGATCCCTGGAAGTGTCCAAGGCCAGGTTGGACGGGGCTTGGAGTGACCTGGGCTGGTGGAAGGTGTCCCTGCCCATGGCAGGGGGTGGGATGGGATGGGCTTTAAGGTCCCTTCCAATTTAAACCACTCTGTACAAAGAAAACCAAAAAAAAAATAAATACCTGACTAGTCTATCAAATGGCTTGATTACAAAGCAATACTGAAAATCAGTATGGCTAAGAAATTCCTGAGTTTCTTCTACCAGGTCAACTCACTGCAACATAAATGTTTAACAAAAAAACACCTCCAAGATGTTTTATCTTCACTGATGTTCGGGGCATTTTTTCTCCTACATAATATAAGAGCCTTCAAGGTGCTTCCTCTTATACAATTAGACATGCTGCATTTTAATTGGAAGCTTCTGGAAATAAATTTTACAGTGAGGCTGCCAAGCCTAAATTAATATTTCACACCGTGATGTTTTTTGTTTTACAGTTTCCAAATTAGAATCGGTCAGAACTTCTCTGAACTTTTGTTCCACAGGAAGGGCAAAGGTTTTAATGAGACTTCAGTCTGGAGATTACTTTTTAAATATTTTGTGAAATCTGAGGGATTTGCTAAGCACTTGAGATGAAAAACACCAGCAGAGTTTGTTTTTGTAGTCTAAGTAAAATTTAAAATGTAAAACTACCAAGAAAGACAATCGTCTCGAAAACGAAGA